CCCCAAAACCCCAAAACCCCAAAACCCCTAAAAGCATTGATTTCAAAATTAAAGAGAAATGTAAACTTTATCAATAAATGGCTTATTTTTATCTTGGTTTTTAATAAATATTTAATAATTAGTGAGAGTCATTAATCAATGAATCACATAATTTAGCTTTATTAAGTCAAGCCTAATGAAAAAATGAGTGCCTGTATAACTCTTTCATTATCCTTGTAACCCAAATTGAATATAATAAGTCTATTTTGTCCTTCGTACTAGCACATACTACTGAATCTCTCGTCAATATTAAGATTGATATCACTTAATCGATGAATTTCAAGTGTTTATGTGTTTAAAATGCTGACTCCATGTGAGTCTTTTATAAAAGCAAAATGTCTCTTTCTGACATCATATTAATGAATGAGTTAAATGCTCAATATCATGTTGTTGCCAGATGGATTGACAAAAGATTTTATTATCTTTCCAACTTGTTTATCTAAAACTTGAATATAGTCATTATTTTCTAAGTTGATAAGTATAAGTTCCTTCGCAATAACAGCAAAAGTTTTAATATTAGACTCATCTAAGTATGTTTTATAGGAGTTTTCTTCGAATTAAATATTTTTCTATCTTCTAAAAATACTCACTGTCCTCAGCCCACAATCTTGAAGGGCTAGTATTAACTCTCCATCTTAATAATGAGCACAATTTATATTACTATGAATTGAATGTCTATAGAATGAGAATATGCAAAGATTTGAAATGTCAAATAACTGAATACTTCCAAAAGCTCCTAAAAATATCAGAATGTTTTCCTCCATAAATAATATTTTCGAGACAGATTCAATTGAGTGAACAGTCTTCATAATTCTGTGGTTCTAATTATCAACCACTATTAACTTAGAATTTTCCAATCCGAAAAGAATATAATTATCATGTGCAAATCCACAAGTAGCATTATCTTCAAGGTTCAAATTCATGATAGGGATAAAATCTTTGTCGTATATTTCTAGTTGATTGTAGTTATTACCTATGTATATTTTGAAGTCTTGCGAAACAATGATGCATTAGTCTTAGGCATCTTAATTAATACACCTAAACGTTCCTATTTAGTAATTTTTATCCAGTTCACTTATCTAAGCATCACTATTAATTGTAACTACACTTCTTTCTACGCTATAATGTTTGTTTTCTTGCTTGTCAGATGCTTCACATATTACATTTTATTCCTCTGAAATACGAGGAAATATAAGGCTATTTTGAGATCTAATGTCAAATAATAAACTTTGTACCATATCTAGGTTGGAATAATTTTATCTGTCAAACAACTAGATAACTATGCTCTCAGTGGTTGTACATACTAGATTTAGCAGCTCCCCAAGTTCCTCGAGCAATTCTTAAACTGAGAGGCTTGTAAGTGATCTCTGTTTGTAATACTTTTGGCTAAAACCTAGATCTTGGAAGATTTTCAAGTATTCATGGTCTATAGAAAAAATTGTCAATTAGTGAAACACGTAAGTTAGTTTTTAGCTTATTGAAATGATATAAGATTTGAATTCCGACATTTTCATTACATCTTACTTGATTTCCTTGTTCTTAATAAGCTTGTATACATATTCAAACTTGCAATTTAGTTTCATTATCTTTCTTTCTACTAATTTTAGTTAACTTAAGGAATCACTGAACTTTTATAATTGATTAGGAGTATTTAATTCAGGGTCTAAACTGCGTAACATATCTTCGAAAAGCTTTAAAGATATCAAAGCAATATCAGATTGTTCCTTGATAAGAGACTAATATTGTATTATATAGGAAATTAAGTCTTGCTACTCATTTGAATTTTGAACATATTTGTCAACATTCAAAGAAGACGAGAAAGAACCTTAACATATATCCTAGTTATTGGAGTATTTATTCTAGATTAATTAAACAGAATCTTAAACTCCCACTGTTTGCACTACATAATCTAATATTTTGTTCACAAGCACTTCTTAAACGATCTTTAATTCATCAGCTTCCATTTAGCAATTTTTTATGAGGTTGATAGTAAAATGTTTCTGGATACCAGTAAATTCCATTATGTAATCAAATTTGTTCATGACACTATATATTCTTCTAAAGCAAGTATAGGAAAATATATTATTAATTAAACTTTTAATCCTAGCGTAAATTTATATTAATTCATCAACAATCTTCTATTTTTAACTTTCATGGGGTTTTGGGGTTTTGGGG